ACTAAAAGATCGCAAGTTCGAATCACGGATTGGACACTCCTACAAAAGACATGAAAGACGTTAAAAACATAAACAGCGGATTCAAAAACTCAAGTCAGGAAAACAGAACACAAGAATACTACCCCACGTGGAAGCCAGCCGAAGTCGTCGAAGAACGAACACAGTCGAAGAACGAACACAGTTGACAGCTGTAGGTCGCGTGCAACAACAGACACGAGGAGCATGGCTGCTCTCCAAATGGGTCCCTTCTTTTGTATTGACCCCCTAAGGATTGCTAATCCCCCTTTCTAACTCTTCCCCCAAAAATAATATATCGCCCCTTTTAAAATGTATTGAGCCACAAATTAATGAATATTCATGAGCACAGAAACTGCTACGTCATGAATAAATTAGCATAATTTTAAAAAATTTGCATAAAGTGTAGGTACTCCTTCTGGAGCTCTGCCGGGTTTAATTTCAAATAAACAATACCAAGGTACCAATTAACTTATAGTTGAATGATACAAAATCTGTTGGCGGATGCATACAACAGTGATCCACTTTCACCGGAAATGGCAGTTAATGAAAAGTACGCCACTAACGACTGATATTGGGCGCCATTTGTTTTCATAGCGCTTCTGTAACTATTCAAATGCATCGAACACAATACACAAAAATAACACTACTTTTTATAGTCTACATAAACAACAGTGAAGATTTTATACGGTATGGTAGCTACACGTCACGTCTCTTTCGCAACCTATGGGCATCCCTCCAAAGATAGCAAAATGTTATTTCAAATCGAGATTAGAACATCCACAAATGCATTCATGTGGAGATTGTAAAAAAAAGTCTCACTTAAATTCATATGGAGAATGTGAAAGCCGCACATGTATCTGTATAGAGGTTGTAAACAGTCACATATATATCTATATGCAAAATATAAACACCTGTATTCATATGCAAATAGTAAACGGTCTATACGTATTGTCGTCTGACTTGCGGATTTTGAGATAAAATGTGGAAACCAGTTCACCAAAAGTTAGCGGTATTGTCACAAAAAAAAAAAACAGGAGCAAACAAACTACATTACAGATGCGTACTTTCTTTGCTATAATATTTCTTTGATGCCATTTGATATGATACCAGCTGTTTCCCCTGCCGAAATATTCATCATGCTCTTTTTATATTTCTTCTGTTTGAATTGGCAGTAATGTCACAAAATAAACAAATGTGTTGGAGCTCACTCAATCCAATGCAACTACGAATCAAGTATAAAATCAACCGGGCTGATCGCTATCTAACTTTTGACGGGCAACGGATATACACACGGATAACAACAGGCAGTCGTTCCGCTCTTTCATTTTTCAAAACAGCGGAGCGGAAAAAAAATAAATATTGTTATTATCAAAAATTAAATAAAAGCATATATGTTTTAAATGAAAATTGATAAAATATTTATCTCAGGAGACCGTCGCGCTACTATTCAGAGCAGCAGAAGAAACTGTTCATAACAGCCATTACCCATGAGACCATAGTGGAATTCTCTGTGGGCGATATTCATTCGCTCAGTTATTTTCAACCGTAATTCGATATTATATAAAAGGTTTATGAATGTTTTATATATAAAAACAAAGTGTTATGTCTTAAATGTAGTGTACCTCAATGTAAGTCATGCAGCTGTGGATCATGTCAGTTTACAATATTTCTCTGACAACTTTAATACGAACCAACATATTTAAGAGACAAATGACATTTGACATTTGACTGACTGTTCATCACATCGGTATTTGTCATGGCAACTATTTCACGATTCAGATGAGATTTAGGACTAGGTCTAGACTATATGATGCTTTATCTTGTAGTGTATACGCTCACACTTCAAACTTCGGAAAGTTATTGGTGAAGCCAGGGAAACTTTTGTCATTATATTCGTAGAGTTAGTTGCTTGGTTATAAAAGAACGCCCTCTATGATCGCAGCAATTCCATGATTTATTTGCGAACAAATGACGTACTGGTTTGACCTTTGATCCCGCCTTTGAATTCCCATCGCTTCCTGTACTGTATGCACTGTGATGAGTTTGGTGAATATTTCCCTGGCCTATCCACAGAGTTAGCCTGCGTATATAAGAAATACACACGTATCCATATACTGTGTGTTGGTGTAGTATAATCGGCAGTGAACCTCGTCTCCTGTAATAACCTACTGGGCCGCCGCACAGCGTGTGTACTTTACAAGAGTATTCAATTTGGGGCAGCATATGTCATTGGTAAGTCTTGGTATAATCAGACGTGTGAAATGTCAACATGTGTGTACATGTGTTTCAGACTGTTAATATACTGGATATTTTCTTTGTATTTCTCTTGATATACCCGATATTTAATACTTTGTGAATAGTGGTCATATCCAGTAAGGGATCAAACATTTGAAATCGTGGGGGGGGGGGGGGTGACTGGAATAGTGTGATCTGTGTAACTGTAGTGTCATGTCTGTATATTTCTATTGCTCTTGAATGTGCCAATATTTTTTCCTGCCACCACTAGCATTTATTATTTTTATATTGCCATTTTTTTAAAAATCTTCCACCCACCCCCATGATTACTAGTGGTCTACCCCCGAACATTTTAGATCCGCCTGCCCTGTTTGTAAATTTGTCACCCACGTTGAAATGACCAAACACGTAAACGGTATTTTATTTTAGCCATTTAAAAATCAACATTCCATTTCCGGCGAATGACGTAATTGGTTTCGATTCAAATTACACGTGACAATTCAACATACATACATAACAAAAAAAAGGGAGGATAATTTTTGAAAATTATTCGAGAGTCTGAACGGTTACGCTCTGATGCGTGTTTCCGTTGGCTGCTTTTTGAACCCAAACTAGTAAACCACCCTACTCATATGCGAATATAAACTACTTTTACCAGAGAGGTACCTGCTAACGCCTCTTCCCATAGTATGTCAATACATCGATTCGTCATATTGTAAATTCATTTGTTGCATATGCTCATAATAGATACGATTATCACCTTTAGTGCGTTTCCCAGCAAGTAGATATTCTGTAGAATCTGTTTACTCCATTTCGTTAGAAGATAGCGTGAAGTTTTGCAACAAGATCGTTGTAATATATCACTTATTGTCAAATCAAGTCTCATCCTAATACGGTTACTATACACTCGTGATTGCAATATGGCTGTTTTTATCACATTACTGGCCCTGGCAACGATAATTACTATGCGATCACACCGGTGTTTAGACTACTTGATCGACTATCAATTTAAACTGCACTTTTCCATATACGGTTTGAATAAGCACGTGTTGTGAATCCCGTTTCGAATTCAGTTATAATATCAAGATGTCCTGGATATTTGTTAGACCTAGAAATAAAATGAGCGCAGAGAATGGAGCTATGTATAAGACTGACCATTAAAACAAGTTACATGCTCACCCAGTTGTGTTAATTAGACAATGCAGTAATCGGATAGGTTATTTACATTATGTGTAGTATACGTAATTTAGCACCGCCATAATTTGCTTACATATATCGCTAAACTACCTGGGAATGTTTATACAATACTTGTTTTATTATTCTATAATGGACTTTAAAATTAATAAAGTATAGATATTTAATTTTATTACCAATGGTATAATGTATAATGGTATAATATAATGTACTCGTATTGTTCAAATACACTAGTTAAATAACTGTTCAACTGCAAATAATATACTTACAGAATAAATGACGTTGCTGGGGACTATATAATGCATATTCACCAAGACCTAACATTATATGAGAATTACGATTTAGTAATAAAATAAAATAAAATAACTTTTCTCTCAGTTCCCTAAGACCAACAACAAAATGATATTCATCTTCAATAAAATTACGTCCAAAAGAGCAAAATCTCTGATCACGTGGTGTGCCATGAATTCTACTTCTTTCAATTATTACGTCGTGTTATGTGTCTGACTATAGCAATTCTAAAAATACAAAACTGACATTCTTGCATACCATATTTTGTTTGAATTTACAATAAGTTACTAGCTTAAAACTATTTCAACACTTACATGCAAACCTTACATTATTTATAGGAAAATGAACTGTAAAATACATATATATGATCCATAAATGGTGAATTAAAATTATTGAGATAGGCCTCTGTGCATGCCTCGCTGCCTTCTCACCTTCGCCTCGTATATTCATGGCGCTTAACTTTCACGAAAATAACAAAACAAATTCCAGCGGCAAATGATCCAACTTGATTCTGTTACCAACTGAAACAAAACACTTAGCTAACATATATGATTGTATTGTATTGTATTGTTTCGAAACTTCTATTCGCTCACTTTGCCCAACGGGCAAATATAAGTAATAGTTACGCTATGTTTTAACCCTGTGACAAAACAGACAAAACGTTATTTTCATTCCAATTAGATATCTATTTCTCCACATTTTTTTACGATATTTGTAGTCCATTCTTGTTACATTAAATGTCCCATGTTGTGAAAACTAGTAGTCTAAAAATCTATCGTAATAAGCATGTCGTTGTTACTTTCCAGTTAGGCTTATTGTAACAAGTCTCACAACAATTAAATTTATATTTCAAACTTTATATAAATCTATATTTAGGATTTTATGTTGACACACCTCTTGTATTTGTATTCTTCAGATGAAAATGACATCACCGTCTGGATCGTTTGTACCAGGATTTCTACAGTGTCCAGTATGCTGCCGACTATTCACATCCCCAAAGAGGCTCCCGTGCGGCCATTCCTATTGTCGGCATTGCCTAACAACATCAATGAACAAAAAGGGTATTGTTGTGAATTGTCGTGAGTGTTCGTATCAGTACAAATCTCCAAGTGACGGCATAAATGGTGTACCTGACAATACGCTGCTGTGTGACCTACTACACCTGTCGGAAGCCTTGACAACGCGCCCACGTCGACATATCTGCGATGGTGTTATCGGATGTGACGTTTGTTCGCCTGAAGACAACGTCGCTATCAGGTTCTGTACAAGTGCGGGATGTAGTCTGTTTCTGTGCCGCACTTGTTACAAACAACACAAGAAAAATGTATCCCATGAAATGATTAATGTTGAGAACATCGCCAAAAGTTTTCAAGGACATTCATCACATGACCTAACACGTGATCGTTTTTGCATAAAGCATTCTGGGAGAAGATTAAGTTTGTTCTGTAAAACTTGCCGAGTACCTATATGTGAAGTATGCAAAGAGAACGAGCATACAAGTGAACATAACATAGAGAAAACAACTGACATTTCCAGAAAACGAAAGGCAGAATTAACTAAATTTGTTACAAAAATGAGGCAGAAAAGACCAGAAGTTGACAAATTCCGTGAATGCGTCCGCGATTTAAACCGTCAGCTCGATGCAGATAGGGATGAAGCAGAAAAAGACATCCGGGACTTTGTGGGGCTTTTGATAGATACAATTCATGACAAGGAGAGGGCATTATTGGAGGAATTAGAAAGCAAACACAGGGGTGATAAAGAATTAGTTGCGCACGCGTTGGGTCGCTCCGACAAAACATTAAACAAACTATCTCTTTGTATTGACTTGGCATCACGGGTAATTGATGAACAAAATGAAATCAATTTTATGACATTAGAGGGCGGTGTTAGGAATACATTGCAAGAATTACTCGATGAGCAAGTGCTACCAACATTTTGTACTAGTGGTGTTTGTATTGAATTTGACCCAAATACAAGCTTTAAGACTTTAATACACGTAGAAAATATTGGCACTTTGGCAAATACTAAGCTTATTTCAAACATTGATATTCCAGTACCAGAAAGAACAATATTTTCTGCTAGGCAAAGGGAACCATCATTTGAACTTGATGCCACCATTGGCTGCGATGGTATCGTAGAGGGAACTTTCACTTCGCCTCATGGACTTTCCTTTACCCAAGAGGGCGTCCTTGTAGTTGCTGATAAAGACAATGCACGGATACAAATGATAGACCAGAGTGGCGGATGTGCAGCGAGTAGAGTGCACGACAGATTGGACCCTGTTGACGTCACAGTGATTGACAGTTACAAAATAGCTGTAACCGACAGCAATAATAATAAGATACGAATTTGTAGTTACCATGGTGAATTAATCACATCATTCAGTGCGCTTAATCTGATGGAACCGCGGGGCATTTGTTTCCATGCCAACGGTAATTTGTACGTGACTAACTCTGATTGCATACAGGTGTTTTCCATCCAAGGACACGTGATCAAAACGATCGGAGGCAAACGAAATTCACGTCCTGGGTATTTTGATGACCCGTGGTTTATGGCTGTTAACAGTAAGGGTAATCTTTTAGTTTGTGACACCGGTAACCATCGAATACAGGTACTGAATGCGAGAGGAGAATATCTGACCGAGTTTGGGAAAAGCAGTGACGTCACATTGAAAACACCACGCGGCATTGCCGTCGATAGAATGGATAATGTATACGTGACCTTTGACCACTGTGTACACATGTTTGGTCCTGACGGTGCGTATGTATGCCGCGTTGACAAAGACGAAGACGGTTTAAAATGGCCTGTCGGGATTGCAGTACGTCATGAAAGTGACGTCACCAAGATTTACGTATCCGATGCTATGAACAACTGCATACGTATTTTCAAAAACAAATGATGCTCTGTTTGTTCTGACATATATTTATGCTGTTTATATTTATATTTATGTAGAACAATCTAATGAACACACGAACTAAATGAAAACTCATTAGCGCTTTTAATGCACTGCGTAATTAGTATATACGTGTTGTATGAAAGTATTTTTTTAGTGCTCTTTCGAGTCTAAAGAAAAAAAATGCATAAAGAAAAAATTATGCATAGTAATTTGCATCTTCTAAGTCGTGGCTCTTTGTTCGAAACCAGCGTGACCATTATATATTTTAATAACTTAGGAAGAACTATCATTCCTTTCAAAAAATTCTAATTTCGACAACTTTGAGCTGTTGCTGAAATGTCTCAAATGACTATGCAAGTAAACAACGAGCTAGGAATGGTTTAATTTATCCGTCTGTAGCAAAAAAAGTCTGATACTATTTTAGTTTCCCAAATATGCCTGAATTTCAGATCAGCAAGTCTTATGTGCATAAAATAAAACTTGATTGACAAACTTTATAAAGATACGCTTAACAATTACGTTAATATCCATTTTTGAACCATTTTGTGCTGAGCATTATTAACAGCAATTAAGGATATTAGTTTGTATAATAATGACAAATTATGGTAAAATGGACTGAAAATCATTAGAACTTAGCATGAATATTTAGAATAATTGATATTTTTTATGAACAATGTGCATTAGGATTTTCCTATTAAACTTAAGGTCACCTGGAGGTCATATGCATAGAATTTCCTCTATAATCAGCGAATATCGACGTCTCGATGCCATGCAATATTTGGAAAGAATTAATGTATTCATAGTCACCGTTTTGTATCCAAATGTTGTCTGGGGTATATTTAAACAGGTGCGTACACTTTCCTAACAAAAAATACGGGGGTTGAACAGAGCATTTTTTTCCACCTATTGTTGGATATTTTTCCTAACCCAAAGGATTTTTTTTTTCTATCCGATTGGGATATTTATTCCCATTGGGGGTTAGTCCTGTTTAAAGTCATCGTGAGTTCGCCAATACGCTCAAAGACAAAACATCCCGACGGATCGAGGTGTATTTATTTTGCTTGTATACCGACCGGATTATATATCCTGTTTGACGGGTTTTCCTAAGTGACCTGTATGCTCCCAGTGAATACCTGATTGTACAGCCATGAATGTACACCAGACATATATATATATATATATATATGTTGTATTATTGGCATGCCTTCCCGTTGCCTTCTCCGCGGTAATAAAATTGCATAAATAGTTGTAATTTAATATTAAAGCGCGGCGGTCGTCGCGCAGCGCGTGTTCGAATTTCATGTAAATAAACAATGTATTTTACACGCGTTGTGTACGTCGCTATGAGTCCCATATCGAACAGGCCGCGGCGCGACGACTGCCGCCCTTTAAATGCTTTTCAATAATTACTACGAACTCGCAGAAATGATATGAACGCCTCTTCATTTACATTTACTTTGATTACGTCCGACCAAACTACATCGCAGTCTTGTTTGAGACTGGGTTTGGATGAGTGCCTAGCACAAATTGTAAAACCAAAATTTACCATGATCAAATCTAGTGAGTAAACCTTTGCTCACAGTTTCAAATTAGCGATAGATATTCCACGCCGACTTGCTATTCCATTGTTTTCATGCGGTTTGTATCCCGCATATCACCACAGTTTGGTGTAAAAAAGCAGTGTAATATGTTTTCATCCCGCCATACTATGTAACAAAAAATCCAATAATATGATTGGTCAAACCAATCATCTCGAATGGCTGACGATGACAAAATACCTCAATATCTCATGATGCGGTAGTTTTTACACTACATCTATTGTAGGATTGTTTTGGATTTATATTAATTCGAATATTTATGATACTTTCAGATTTCGGCAAAGATGCATGTGTCTTATAAAACCACATATACGCGAGTCATTATTTCTATTTCCAATCTATCTATTTAAAACACTGTTTCAAAGTGTATTTTATCGATATCTAGAGTAAATTTTTCGTGGATTGTGTAAAAGTCTCTGATTGAATTGACTCCAAAATTAGTAACCATATTACCAATGCATCCCAGAGACTGTAAATATATGGATTGCTTACCAGGAAACGTAATCCTTAATTGCTTAATCGCATGATGGTAAATTGGCGAGAATTGGTGTTCATGTTAGCGGTTACCCAAATACATAAATGAGACAAGACGCTCTTCTAATATACGCAAATTAAATGCGGTTTCTGTGTTATTTTTTTCCGCGAAACAGGAGGATATTGAAATCGTGGTCTTACTAGAGACAGAATGAAAGGGGATACTGACTCTCGTTAAATAAATCCGATAGTATTAAGGTAATATATCCGACGAGTAACACGCGAATGAGCAGGAAGGTAACCAGACTAACAAGTACAATATTAGACATAATAGTGGCTATGCTGCGTTCCGCTCTACTTACATACGCAGAGGTGGTAAATCAATTGTTGGGTCAGGCCAGGTCAGGTCGAGTCAGGACATGAAATGCTCAGTAATAATGTATGCCTCGAAGATCACTTTATAATGAGGCATATAATTATTTCTACCAAATAAATGCTTGACGCTGATCTCAGTCTAAGTGGCGAACAAGCAATTCAGCCTGCAACAGTGTATTTGTTGATATTGAGTTGAATCATACTACAATGTTATAGATTTATTTTTTTCAGACCAGGATTCCAGTCTGCTGCAGAATGTTCACATCGCCGAAGAGGCTTCTGTGGTGTCGGGCCCAATAAACACGCAGACAACAGGTTCGGTATACAAGCAAGGTTTACTTGTGTGTAATAACTAACGGAACTCACAAAGTTGGCAGCCCTGTCCCAGAATCCCATCTGTTGCTAAGCAACCCAACTGATGGCGGGAATATGGCCATGCAAAGTACGGTATATGTTTATACT